GATGACTTCAAAGTTGTGTCCGTCAACGCACCGATCCAGACAGACGGATACAGCTGCGGATTCTGCGTAATGTTGAGGTTTTGGCTATATATAGACAAGAGTGTATCGCTGGACGTAACTCCGATTGGTCTAACGCTGTTACACTTCAACATCCTTCACTTCGTGCTTCACGGAAGCAAGCCATTATACAACTCAATACAATTTCATTTCCATTGAAACTGATATCGATCCGTCTAATGCTCGTGAGTACGGTTGACCTTCTGTTCTGTATATCTACGAGAGATGCCAGAGGGCTTCCGTCTGCTTAGGTCTAACAACTTCTATTCACTATGAATTAAAAAAAGCAGTAAGTAATTTATTTCGACACTTGGACATTACTTGGGGCATGACACGAACAATAACCGGAGTCGAAGCATGGACTGTAGCATCGGTCAATAAAATATCATATTGAATTCAGAATTTTTATATGGAAAGCATTGTTTTAATTATTGTGCATAAATTCTGATTATATATAGGTAATATGACGAGGTTAGATTTGAGTTTGCTGTCTTTATCGAAAAATGTACATCAATCACCATGTTATAAGCTGTATGAATCCATGTGTGGCCGTGTCACCCCCCCCCCCCATTTTTAATTACCGATCGATCCGGCCACTCATTCTGCACGCAGCGCACGTGCTGGAGAGCCATCTTTCCCCGCTCGGAGCGACGGAAACGAAGCCCTGCTGTACCGCCAGCGCTGTTGTGCATCCGGTAAGCATCCCCATGCCGGCGTAGCGCCAACCCTCCCCCCCTGGCGATTTACCGTATAACGCCCAATACTGACGAGCTTTTGCCACGTGTCAGTTCCAGATCCCCCAATCGTGCTGACCACCATCCGGAACGAATCCAAAGCCACGCGTAGTGCCCCGAGCTTCCATCGCTTCTCTTCGTGTCCAGCAGGTAATACTGGCCAGTATGTCTTGACGCAAAATATTGCCAACACTAACAAGCTTATTTGTTTACGAGTCTTTAGGCATACTTCAGCGCTGAAGAAGGGGGAAACACGTGGTAAAAGTACGCAAGAGTCCACGATTAACGAGGCTGCAATCAACTCAAGGTACAGTGCGATACCTTGAGCAAAGTTGGGGAGCGTATAAAAGCTGATCTTTGTCGTTAAAATGCAGATTTCTTTCGTCGGTGTAACTCATCCACGGGCTTACTGTAACTCCTACACTCCTGACGCGTAGATGTAGCGTGACTGGATGGATGCTAACATGCTCCATGATCCACCCATGTTTTGAGCATGTGCTAAATATGTATGATCTATACTTATGTCATTCTCTATTCAGAACATGACACGCACAAAGAAAGCCGTGCCACTTATGCTGGTCATGCATTGAAGGGGTGGGCAAGCTTACGCAGCGGCAACTCATAGTAATGAAATACTTGGGTGACATGATGAGAGATTGCACAAACGAACTGAAGTGCTACACATGCTTTACGAACTAATGAGTGACGAAGTATCATTTTCGGTGGCTAAGCAGATGATTGGGACGTGGCCTGGTGAGCGCCATTTTAGGATTTGGTAAAAGCTTTCAATTGAACTGGGCGCACTTGTATTGTGCTGGGGACGGTTGCTGGTATAACGACAGCTACATCCAAGCATTTGCCAAAACGCTGGAGGTAAAATACGACAACAACTACATGGTCCGTTTACCTTAATTGAGCACACCGGCGCCAGACAAGGGTAAACGCATTGGGCCGCGATCGTAAGGTCTACCGACGGGCACCAACAAGGACTGGGTGTTAATGCCGTTGAACTTCAATGGAAACCATTGGATGTGTCATGCTGTCAACCGACCGCAGCTGGCTATATACAGCTACGATAGTCTCGACAAGCGCGCTTACCACAATTTACTGGAAAGGCTGGCACAGGACCTCAGCCAGAGAGTGACGAAGCAACCGTACGAGGTTGTTGCTTTCCACAGCCTTGTCCAGACTGACAGCAACAATTGCGGTTTGTTTGTCTGTCTGTACTTTTGACGTAGGGTGTAAGGAAGCTGGCAACGACAACTCCGAGACTGGGCTGCTGCACCGTCGCTGGGATGTACTACGATCTGTTATTGAGCACAGCGACTATTGCAAGAAGGAAGACGAACATAACAAGTGACCAATTCATATTCGCTCCATGTTCGAAATGTTTTGCATATTTTCAGCGTCTTGAAGGTCCTAGCGTATGTAGACGTGTCATGCGTACATTATGAAACGTAGTTTCAACCCGTGATAGGTAAGAATGCGAAGTGTAGTCGACAGACGGGAAGTGCGGTCACTCTTGATTTTTCACGCCTTGCTGCTAATATGTTTCGCCATGTTTTAAGAAATGGTAAATCATGTACCGAATAAACTACAAATCCTGTAAGATATTTCGTAAATTATTTGAGAAAACATGGATGGCACCTGAAAATTTATCCATGATTACCATTGTTTTGATACCTAACCCTTTTCAAAAAAATGGGCTGTATCGCCAGCTTATATTTTTTAGCAGTTCGAAGAACTGTGTTAGGGACAGTGAAAAGCTTGGCATCCTCCATCTGTACGATAACCGAAGCAAAGTTGCGCAACCAGCGATGTTTGTCATCTAGCAATATATCTTGGCATGATATCGCATATTAGGGGTCATGAAGAGTTTGTCATCCTGCTACACTTATTTTACGCTAACATAAGACAAGCTGCGCTACCAGCAAATTTGCCATTTTTGCCATGAAACGTTTGTCGGCAATTGCGGACAAGTCCAAAATGCTAATGGTGTGGGTCACCAATACCCCCAGGCAGTATACGCTAACCTTTTGTCTCCAGGGGCAGGATAAATAAGCTCGCGCGCGTACGGGTAGGCTCGACTTCAAAAACAAAGTTTGAAGCCGTCATGGATGCGTTATTGGTAAAACTACCGGTATAAAGCTTTGTACCGGTACCTATAACATGGATACATGGATAGCACATCGTGAACAATACACGGATGGGAGTTGGACAATAAATGCACTCAACAACTGGATTTGTCATAAATTACCGAATGAGAATATTTTACAATCATGGACATTCCATGAAGCATGACATAGATAATAACCGGAGTCGACGCACGGACTGTAGCATTTCTGTATTTTATTCCTTGATATTAGCCGCTCTTTTAACCTCACTCCCGCAGCTAAGAGGGTAGCTTTTGATTCTGTCCCACATCTTGACATGTAGAACTTTGTTTACTTTTTTCTCTAACGCGGTGTTATTGACGAGGTCGCACTACTGAAGTGCGGTAGTTGTAAAATGCGAACGTGTTGGATGGCGATGAATCCTTTATAAACATAGCTTGAGCCCCTCGCCAGTGTTTAGCGTAGCTGTTTGAGTTGGCGGGCTATATTACGTGTCTGCGTTGGTGGGCTTCCAAATGAGGAAACAGTACAGTAGTCTAGCGGCTCCTATCGCATCGCCAGCATTTATAATACGAAGTACATGTAAATAATTAGCTGCAATCGAAAAGAAGACTTCCGAAGGTTGTCAAGACTGTGTCTACGTGCCACTAGTATTTGGATTGAATACAACCATCAACCCTACATCATTTCTTTTCATCTCAACGAGCTCACATTAGTGTTAATCGCTTTTTTATCATCTCAAAGTGCACACATTAGCGTAAACTGCAAGTCGCTCCAAATCTCAGTATGGACGTACTGACAACTAAAATCCGGTATAACCCCGGTGCAGCAGGTATCCATTGTGAATCTCATCGTAATTCTTGCCGTTGGCCTTGCGGCTCGCCTGCTTCAAGAACTCGTCAATTTTAGTCAGAGCATACTGGTTATGCTCCCACCACACGAATGCAGCTTTCTGCAACCGATGATCGCCCATAAGATCATCAGCTAGTTTCATGAGTTGTGTTCCCTTCGTCAGTTCGGCCAGGTCAAAAGTCGAGGCTCGCTGCTCAGCCACAGCTTCATTTTCTTGATTGCGTGCGAAGAAATCTTCTGCCGGCTGAATCGTGAGAGTCAACAGGTAACATATTCCCCAAGAACGTGGTTTGGTCGAACTCAGCTGCACTGCAGGACGCGAAGTATATGGCGAGTACTGCAGGAGATACCATGCCCATCAGACGCATGGTATAAACAATTGAAGGGTAGAGAGCGTTTTAGTCGGAGAGCAATTTAAGAAATGGTACTTTTTGGTGGCGTTGTTTCTTGAGCAGTCACTCCTATTGGCAGAAAATAATACATGAACGAACTGACGTAATAGCATACGCTGTAGGATTACTTGATCTATCTATGCTCCGTAAGAACTGTTTACGTGTTTAGGGTTTCTAGAGAGGTTTGGAGTACAGTACTGCACCCTGTTTCGTGGAGGTGGACCATATAGGATTTACAAATAAATCAGATTTTATCTAACAAATCAAAATTTATTTATTTTCAAGATTATCACATCCTGAAGTTTATTAAAGGTCCTAGGGCGCGATAGCGGTACAGTAGGTCCAAATCATCCACTTTTTTTACGCGATATCAAAATTTGTACGCTGTGTTACTGTAGCTGTAACACTGTGTACAAACCTTGACATAAACACAAAAGTTGACGGGGCACGCACTGTAGTAAACGTTTAGCACATCGTTAGGCATACGTCTGGAGCGGTCCCAGCATTTTTACAGTATTAATCGGTACCCGGTAGCTAAATAGTTAGCCTTTGTTATAAGCCGTTCCCGAGATCGCTCCCGAACGTATGCACATCGATGTGTGAATTTGCTACAGTGCGTGCCCCGTCAACTTTTTGTGTTTATGTTGGAGGAATAGTACTATGTATTTCATACAGCATGTATTACGATTTATCTGTGCACCGTAAACTCCCGGACGAGATATATACAGTGTCTTGAAGATAGGAAATAAGTTTTTCGAGGGAATGTACCGGAGAATCACGACCACCAATTGTATCACTTCTTAATTTCGCTCTTCACACGAAAAGCTCTCAGCTCCCCAAGGTTTCACACCATGCGTCTGGCAATTATGCTGTCTACTACGGCTGTCGCCACTTACCTTACAACCTGCAGTGCAGTCGACCAAACCAAGGTTCTGATGTATGGGTCGCCAGCTCACTACATACACGATTCAGCCGGCAGAAGACTTCTTCGCAAGAACGAAGAGAGTGAAGAAACGTCTGAGGAGCGAGCCCCTAATTTCAATTTGGCGACTTTAAATGAGGAGATGTTTGATGTGGCTGCGTTGACGAAGAAAGCAGATGCCAAAAAGCTAGCTAAACAGCTTATGGGTAATGGTAAGCTGGCGGATGCTGCATACATTTGGTGGCAGCACAAGAGGCTTACGCTAGACCAGATTGACGCGTTCCTCAAGCTCGCAAGCAGCAAGACACAAGGCGCGAGATACAATCGGATCTACAATAGCTGCTATATGATGCACCTGGGGCTCACTGGATTTTAGTTTTCGGAAAATCCAATTCTAACTCTAATGTACAAAAATCTGAAGCGCTCGTGACTTTCGAGTCGAAGCGCGAGGAAGTTTCAAAGTTTAGAGCCTATTCGATCAACACTTGATCTGAGCCATAGAGATGGCACGAAATTCTGAACTCTATGCCTTGTACTTTTTAAAGGCGTCCCTTGTGGCTTCTACTAGTGCAAGTGTAATTGTCGTTTTAAATATAGTGGGTAGGAGACAATGGAGTCATCCCTCTTCACTGTCCATCACCTGCTTCAATGTGCATTGCGAGTTTACGCTTCACTCCATCTATGATAATTCAGATTTTTTTAATTTCTTTGTTCTTCTGACCGCTCCTCTGTCGATGTTTAGTACTACTATGAGATAGTCGCTTTTCAATTGCTGAACCTTAAAACAATGCAGATGAAACCACTTAACGACTTGCGCTTATTGGTTTAATGCAGATCAATAGCATTGCTGGTACACCTCTCAGAACGATTATGACGAAGCCATTTCACGACGTCAATATATCCATTTGCATCCGCAGCATTGAATGGATAACAACGCTTGGCCATCTCGTTCGATTTTGCTTCCGAGACGCAGCATCGGCTTAATGATGGTTAGTTTATTAGATTTAAGGGTACAATATGTCAACCCCCAAATGTGGCAGTATATATTTTGATGACTAGTAAATTTGCTCTCGTAAACGCACATCACAGACCATATCCAATGCAAAGTTTTCTCGACAAATGATATTAAATTGTCTTTCATTCACAGCAGTAATATATATTAACACGTAAGGTATTTATACTTCCTCTGGCCGAAAATACACGCGGGTTATCTCTCTAAAACCGTATTGAATAATTGCGTTGTTCGACGGCTAAGTACGCTCATACAATTGCTGCTATTGATGGCAACAACTACTGACCCGAGTAAAGGCCGTATCAGTAGCACCATTTGATAGGCAAAGTCAAGTTTTGCGTCTTTACGAGCTTTCACGCCTCCCGTTTTAAAATGAAGACCTTGCGTCAATTTCCATATGTCATGATATTCTCCGATTTGATTTAAACTTCGACCAGAAAATTTATCAGCCGCCGAATAGTAATTTATACCAATCAGCGGTCAGTTAACCCCTTCCCTCCCGACGTCGTAAGTTACGCCATATGAAAAAATATGTCGCATCTTACGACGTACGGCGTGCGACAATAGGCAATGGCTCGAGCAATACTTTAATCAGTATATTTTCGAATTGAAATAATGCGAGAGGTCACAGAGAAAGTGAGCAGAGACAGAACAGGGGTAGGGGTCGGAAAAGAGATACGGGTCAAAGGGATACGCTGATGCGGAAGGAGCACAACAGCCAGTCATTCTAGAATTCGCAAGATGGCGCGCATCCGGGCCAGTGCCCGTGGAAAAACAGACGTCGTAGCCGCGGTGGCTCGAGACATTGACTTCCGCCATTTGTGACGTCAACTTCGCGGAGCCGGATGGACGTCCAAGCGACCCAGCGGCATGCGGACAGACTGGATGTGTGTGAGTCCTGATGGTGTTCATTCGTTTGTTGGTGAGGACGCGGTTGTCGTGCATGCTATTGAATCTGGACTGCTAGAAGACGTTGATGCTGATCATGTTGAGAGCGCGATCGACGCGATGGATGAATATGTTGAAGTGGCTGAAGTTGTGGAGATTGATGACGGTGGGAGAGCCGATAATGATGCGGATGCAGACGTCCGCCCATCCCAGATTGACACTAGCGCACAGCACTATCAAAACACGCTGAATGAACTCTTCGGGTCTGAGAGCGACTCAGATGTTGAGCTCTCGCAGGCCGCTGCGACCAGAGCATTTGACGTCTCGCCTGGCGAGCTACATGCAGCAGACTCCCAGCGAGATTCTGATACCAGCCTACAACTACTATCGGAGGTGTCAGGGGCTGAGTGCGACGGTACCTAAGTAGATGCTGTTGCTGTAGAACCGACCCGCGTGCTACGACCGCGAGTTCATGTAAAAAAGGACGTCAACTACGTCCCTGAGGCCGATAACCTGGGCGCCTACGAAAACTTCAGCTCTGACGAAAGCGAGAGTGGCGAAATCGTGGAGGATGACGACGCCGCCAGCTCTATTGATACCGAAAGCGATGACGTCGCTACGCAGAACAACGCTGTGGAGATGGACAATGCGTTCGTACAGTCGCTTCAGATTGGAAACGGCACATTGCCGACGAGAGCAACGTAGCAGCGGTCTGCTGCTTCACGAGGGATGACCTGGTCTCTAGCGTCGAATTCGTATGAGGAAGACGTACGCTGTCACGTGGTTACATGGTGTGGAACACACAGGGGTACGAAGTACCCGGAGAGTTAGCAAACTCTCAGTGCATAAGCTGGAGAGTTAACAAGGTCTCTCAGTACGTTGGCTGAAAGCCACACGTTATGCATTTGATTAGGTTTAGCTATGCAAGATAGTTAAACAGATACATTTAGCCCTAGGCGGCTTGGCCGCAATAATTGTAAATAAAACACTTCTGGTTTTGAAGCATAAAAGTTAAGGTATTAACTTTGAGCTCTTGTCTTGGGCTGTAAGTGTCCGTTGGATAAGGAACTTAATATTAGTAACTCTTTGAGTCAAACGTCTTCCTCTGACGCTAAAACGACGGCAGCCCCGCTGCACTTGGTAGCACTTGTAGTCAATCCCGCTCCTGAAGCGGTTGACTATATCCTCTGCGAGGATGGAACACCCCGTGTTCACGAATTTGCCCCCGGCGCAGCATGACGCGCTTACTAAACTTATGTCTTTGCTTGGCCCGGAGGGCGTGGCTCATCTTGCATCGCAAGGTCCAGAGGCGGTCACCGCCAGGCTGGAATCGCTCTCCCGCTACGAGAACGCGCTCTTGGAGCACGTCCAAGAGAAGAAGAGCGCCGCAACGGCGGCGGCGTCGATGACGCGTGAAGAATCTATGCGACTAAAACCGCTCATGGTGAGGGTAAAAACATTCGAGGGAAGGATGGAGAGAATCTCCTTCTCTGAACCCGTGAGATCGAGATGGCCATGGGATTGGCCCTGCTCCAGTCTGAGCATCAGCGCGTGGCGCTGGCTATCTCCAGGCTGGGAGGTTGCGCTCGCGAATGGGCACTAACGTGCGGCAGGTCTGTTGACGCTGCATTTCTTACTTGGGATCAGCTGAATCAACAGCTTTCGCGCGTGTTCGCACCGCCTAATCAGGCGTACCATATCCGGTCGAAGTTCCTTGCTACCCGCCAGGGTAAGAAGGATTTATTGGCCTATGTCCAAGAGTTGAGAACTCTTATCGCCGGAAAGGCGGCAGACCCTCTTCCGGAACTGGTCAGCGTGACCGTGTTCATGGAAGGACTTCGTGTGAGAGCAGCTCGAACGGAAGTGTTCCGTGTACACCCTAACGCTTTCGGAGAGGCGGTGGATGTGACATTGAATGCCGTGCACAACTTCAGGTCGGCGCGACCTGGTTAAAGCGCTGGCAGCGCAAGCTCTTCGAGCGGTCCAGAGCCGATGGACCTCAGCTATGCTGAAGATGAAGAAACGGAGCTTCTTGCTGCGGAGCAGCGCACCGGCATCCGCCGATGCTTTGTTTGCATAGCACTAAAGCACTTGAGGGCCTATTGCCCTCTGCGCAAGAAGCGCGAGGCCCCGGCGAGCAGCCAACCTTCCGGGTCATTGCCGGGAAACGGCAACTCCCAGTAGGCGCGGGGCGGCCTACTGGGGAAGAACTGAGCTCCGTTGTGCCTCGAAGAGGTAGAGGGCAACGGGGCTCAGCCCCGAAGAGAGCTGATCTCTCTTACGAGAAGAGTGTGTGCAAGCCGGGCTTGCTGGTCGTTCAAGCGAACGTGAAGGGCTTTACAAAGCCATGGAGAGTCTTAACTGACTCGGGAGCCTCGGGCAGCTACGCCCGTCGCTCCACCCTGGAAGGTAGTCAGCTGTATGCTGAGGCACTGGAAGTGCCAACGAGAGATACGACTCTGTCCGTCTCGCGACGGGGACACTTGTAACTGTGTCGAATGTCTCGGTCGACCTTGGAGTGAAGTTTGATACCTTCGATAGCGTGGAACGCTGTTTGGGCTTAGACCTGGATGCGAGGTATGACCTCATCCTTGGCATGGTATGGCTGGAACGCCATGAGCCATGGATCGACTGGAAGTCGAAAACGCTGGGTGCGTCGCCCCCTGCTCCTATTGGAGCTTTGGTGAGTCATGACCCACCTCTGCTAGGAAGCAGAAGCGCTTCTGGCGCGAGAACGAGGCCGAGGCGGCCGTAGTGCTAGACATCGGTATGTCAGAAACTGTTAGCAGCGAGGTTGCTGGTTGCCCTGAGGGCGTACGTGGTGCGGCACGTTATCTGCTGAGCGGTGCAGGTCAGGTCAATGACCTACTGCTGGGTCCTGGTGAGGACGAGCGCGGAGTGGCGCGTAATCCACTGAGTGGTACGAATAAGGTCGATGGCCTACCGCTGCGTGGCCCGAGGGTCGCAGTCGACTGCGAGTCGAGGCATCATGGGCGTGGCCCAGGAGATGCAGGTGAAGTGACACCTAGTCCACTGTGTGAGGGTCAAGAACCGCTTGACTATCAGCCGAATTTCTTGCGAGACACTGTCTCCTCTTCCAGGAGTGATAGTGCTGCTGCACCCGGTGGTGGGGATTGAGATGTTGCCACACCGCCCTCATCCGGCCCGTCTCGGTCGCAGAGGGGGAGGAGAAGAAGACGCGGGGCGTTTATGACGTCTTCGACGTCGGACGAGGTGTCCAACGTGACGAGCGGTGAGTCTGCACGGGATTGCTGTGAGCAGCTGTACACACTCGTCAATGGAGTGACAGGGGAGGCCGAAGGCGACATCACCCTTGACACACTGCCCGTAGCTGCTCTGCTAGAGCCGGACGAGATGTCCATTGCCGATTTTGGCAAAGCCTTGAAGACAGGCAAGCTAGCGGAGGTAATCCTGCTGGGACCTGAGGAGGTGTTGAGCGCCTCATCCGTCGTGGG